GATCTTTTTTAGATTTTATAATAAAGGTAATATATATTTGGTATCAATGAATATAATATGTTCAGTCTCTTTTTGTAATTTAGGTATTCAATCAAAATCTAAAAACTCCGAAAACTGACCGATAGAGAAAAAACAACTTAAAATGGAATAAAATAAAATAAAATAATTTATTTTTTTAAAAAAAAATTATGAATGTTACATTTTTGGTATAAATACAAAGCTCTTTAATGTTATGGAAGAGATTTATATTTTAGATTTAAAATGCAAAAAATAAAATATTTTTAAATAATATGTATAGTTTATTGTTTTAATTTTACTTCAAAAATTGATGATTTAATTTGATCATTACTTTAAACTATACTGATAACATATGATTTTTTATTTCATGTGAATTTCTCTAGTTAATTTACTTGACCATGGACAGTAGAAACAACCTGGTAAGAAAGCTATAATAAAAATTAAAATGTAAAGATTTATTATTAATAATAAAAGAAAAAAATAATTATTTTTATAAATTTCATTTTGCTTACCACCGCATGCTTCATCAAGATGTTCTTCAACATATCCAAGTTCTGCATCACAAACCTCAATAGCAAGTTGGAAAAAGGAAATTTGATCTGGATCTAAATGGAAACTGTAATCTAATAAAAAGTAAAATAAAAAGTTAATCCCCATTCAAAATTTTTTTAAAAAAAAAATACATACGTGGGTTATATGGTTTTTGAGACTTTTTAAATCTTCCCATTACATGTGTGGTTTCAGTTTCATCTATTTATAATAGAAACATGGTTTTAGTTAATATTCAATTTCAAATTTAATAAAATAATTATTATATATACCTCCTGATAAAATGTTTCTTGCAGTTTTAATTTTCTCTGGATCTGTTAATTTGAAGACAAAGTCATGACCACCTCCATGGGTCTTAAAAGCAAAGTAAGCCTCTTCAGATGAAACAATAGCCGAGAATGTTAGTAAAATTACAAAGAGAGTAAGTAATAATTTCATTTGTATTTGTATTTTTTAATTAAATATTAATATTTTTAAATAGATGTATTTCTTTAATGATTAAATAATAAAAAAAAAATATTTGTTAAATAATAAAATATTATCCATAAACTTTTTAAAAAAAAAGGAATTAAATAAAAAAAAAATAAATAAACCTTTGGACTGTTTTAAATTAACTTTTTATCATAATATAGTTTACCCCATTTTGAAAATATAAATAGTAAAACTGTTTTTATATTCTAATAAAAATAATTTTTATAAAATAAAAATACCCCACTAATATTGTTTTCAGAAAAAAATTAAAAAAAACAAATTTTTTTTATATCTTAATGTAGTGAGATATAAATCATATCTTTGTAATGAGATATAAAAAAAATTTGTGGTTAGAGACCAATCACGATTACCAACAACTACTTCTTTTATTTGTTCTATCATGTATTCAACACCTTTCATTTTTTCTTCTGGAAAAAAGTTGAGAGATTTTATTAATAAAGGTTCATCCCTTTGTATTTCTTCTATTGTTTTTTTAGACATTTCAGTAATTTCATCATAAACTTTTTCCATTGATATTTTTTTTTTTTTTTCGTAGGATATGAATAATATTTTCCCCAGAACAGTCGTGATTGCGTATCACCATTCTGCTCCAAATTGGATTGATCCAAAATGATGATGGGACTTTGGTGTCAACAGCACAATTTACACCAAGGACAAAAAATAAACCGATATGATAAAAACACTAAATAATTTTTGAGTCTTTTTAATTTTTAATCTATAATAATAAAAAAATTTCAATTATTAAACTAAAGAAAACCAATTTTCTAAAAACTTTATTGTGAAAATCCTTTGACTTTTCTATTTGAGTTTCCTTTTTATCTGTACAAAATTTTAAATTGGATGGGGTAGGGTTTTTGACACTTTCCCTTTTTTATTATTTTATAACAAAAAAAAAAACATTATTATAATGAGCTATTGATGGAATGGTATATTTATATGCCAGAGATGTTGGGTTATTAAAACTAATGGGGACTTCCATTATGGTGATATATCATAAATTTATAATAATTATTCTTTTATTTATAAAAAAATTTATTTATTTAAAATTAAAAGAGAAACTACTACACCAGCTGAGCCAGCTAATCTTAGGAATAAATTTACAGGATAAAAAGTTCTCTTTCTTTCTTCGGGTGTGGCATCGATCCATTTTGGAACAATTAAATTTAATAATACAGCACCAATTGAATTCATAAAAACTCTTATTAATGTTGACTCTAAATAAACCATGGTTAAGTCATATTCAATTGCTAAATAAAAATACATCTAAAATAAATAAGGACACAATTAGTTACTACTATTTAAAAGTAAATTAATATAATTATACCTACAATTGCTCTACCATTAATTAAAAATCTATAAATAAATAATGTCCAAAGGCTGGTCTCATTCCATGTTGATTTTACAGCCTGCACTAATGATTCTTTTGTTTCCTCTTCCGAGAGAAAAGCATTCTTTAATGGCTTAATTACATCTATCAAAAGCATAAATGGGAATAAATAAAATGGTAATAAACATTGATCTAATGAATTGTACCCAAATGCATTGGTTCTAAATTGATCATTATAAAACAATGATGTTTCCATCCAAAGAGCATTGGCTAGTGCTAATAAGGTAATGGGGATTAAAATTTTTAATCCTCTAATTAAAATACTAACAAATTGCTTGCTTTTATTATTATTATTATTATCGCTATTGCTGAGTTGGTTAATTTCTGTTTGCTGTGATTCTTCTTGCTCTTCTACCTGTTGCTCCTGTTTATCACTATTAATATTTAATGATGGTGATGATAAAAGCGATGTATTATCTATTGCATCATCTATATTATCAATTGATTTATTGATACTACTGCTACCGTTTTGCTCATCAATTTGATGATCCAAATATTCATCTTTATTGTTTAAAAGTTTATTTGAATCTTCATCTGCACCTGCAATAAGTTTTTCCTCTTCTTCTTTTTTTGATTTTCTATTAAAGAAATTAAACTTTCTGGGTGTTAACTCTATTACCGAAATAACTGATCCTGTAATTCCTAATATATAGCTTTAATATTTTGAAAAATAGTTAATAATAATTATTTACTAAATAAACTTTCTTTTCTTATAATGTATTTACATTAAGGCTGGAATAGGTTGGTTAATTGGTTCTCCGAAAATAATATTTAAAGGATCAATTAAAAATGTTGATGATAATGCTGAAATAACTAAAAAGATTAATCCAAATGGTTCTTTATATAAAAAAACTTCACCATTATAATAGACTATAAAAAAATAAAGATTTTATTAATACCCTCTATCTATTTTATTATACATATATAACGAATAAGACATACTTATATTCATTAAACCATTTGTTAAAAGAAATGGGTGTAATTTAATTGATCTAAAAATAGAGAATGGTCCTTGACTTTTACATGGGATAACTGTGCAATTTGCCTAAATACCAAAAATAATATTAATTTTATGCAATATATATTTATTTTTTATAGGTGCTACTAATAACATACAGGTGTACAATCCATAATTTTACCTTGAACATCCAATTCATAATAACAATCTACTTTTACATTATCTATATAAATAGCACTTGTAATTGATGTTGGTAATGATAGTTGAAATATACCCATAAAAAAAAACATTTGAACTGCTGTCATTAAACATAATCCAATCCTATTATAATAGTAATAATAAAAAAGTTAAAAAATATTATAATATATATATATATATTATAAATGATTATAAAATTTACATCATATGACGGGTTTTTCTTTTATAATTTACTCTACTACATCTTTGTCCGAAAGCATCACCAAGCATGCTAATAAACTGCGTTGCAATTAAAATACCAATATTTGGTTTAGCTTGAGACATTTTTTATTATTATTATATTTTTTTAATAAATATTATTTTAATGTTAAATAATTATTAAATAAAATATATAAAAGATATAAAAAAAAAAGATGTGGGGTTTCCTACAAAAAAAAAAATTTTAAAAAAAAAAAAAAAAAAAAAAAGAGACTTATCGTAAAAATTTTATTTTTTATAAAAATAAATAAAAAAACAAATATTTTATTTAGGATCCTAAATAAATAATTTCAAAGTTATATATTATAATATATATATAATAAATGGTTTATTATCATTTTATTTTTATATTAATATTAAATTAATTTATTATAATTAAATTTTTAATTAAAATTAATACACCTTTTTTTTTTTTTTTTTTTCTTACTAATTAATTATTAAAATTTTTTAAATTAATTTTATTTCTTCATTATTTAATATCATTGTAATAAATATTATTTCTTTTTTTTTTTCACTTTTTTTTTAAATAATATTTCTATTTTTTTTAGATATTTATTTTTTTTAAAAAATAATCAAGAAATTTTTATTTTTTTTTTTTTTTATTTTTTTTTTTTATTAAATATTTAATAAAAACCCAATTGTAATATTGATATTAATGTATTCTGTTATTGATTATTAATAATAGAAATAATAACAAGATGGATATTAAAAATGAAGAGTTATTTTTTAAAGTTTTTAAAAACTCTTTTTTAATACAAAAAATTTTCTCGTTTGTTCATAGAGATAAAGTTGGGTATAGATGGAATGAAACCGTTTCGATGGAACTCCTTTTAAAGAACTCCAAATTCGAAATTTTATACGATAAATTACTTTCCAAAAGCCAAATAAATGTTAATTTTTTAGGACTTAAATTACTTTTTGAACTTTATCCTCAAAATCAATATTTCAAAAAAACATTCGAATTATTGTGGGATCAATACAACGAAACAATTAAAGCATTAAACCCACTATCAATTTTAATATATATTAAAGAAGACTATTTTTCAAAATCAGTTTCAGATAAAATCTCAGATTCAGACCTTTTCAAATTTATCTTTAATAAATATTATAACTATAATAATAATAATGATAAAATAAATCAATCCTATAAACTTTACGATTTATTAGATAAAACCTTTAAATCAAAAATTTTTAATAATAATATTGCAAGTTTTATAGTTGAACAAATCAACAATATAAATAGAAATGATAATAATAGTATGGATGAATATGAAGAATTCATTGAACCATTTAGAAACTTTAGAAATAAAGAAATTTTAGAATGTATCTATGCAAATAAAGAAATCCCATTGTTCTTGGGCCACAATATCGATTATATTTTAGAATCTGATACCAAAGAAAAGGTCAAATTCATTAGGGATACTCTAAAGATAGATTTATCAAAACAAATAAAGAAGTGTAATGGAAGTAGCTCTTTTATTTTAAGAGAAATGACCTATTTGGATGTGAAAAGTTATACTGAAGAAATATTACAAGTTTCAAATCAATTGATGTTGCATGGCCAGTACGATTGTAAGATTGATGTTAATTTAGGCCAACAGTTTGATACCTCGATACATTTGGGTAATGTGGGCTATCTTAAATTGTTACTAATAGATAGAGCTCAAAAAAATCGTTTAATTAACTTTAAACAATTTAAAAAATACTTGTTAGAAAATGAAAATAGTATCAACAATACTGAACAGCTAATCCAAGTCGTAGAGAAATATAAAAATAAGCAAGGTCAACACATAGGTCCAGAAGAACTTTACTATTTTTTCGACATTCATATCATTTACTACCATCTCAAGCAAAACAATTTTGATCAGGTTATTTATTATTTAAAGTCTTATTTCAACTTTACACAATTTGATACAGAAAATGAAACTACAAACGAAGCCATCAAATCAAAAATAGCCTATTTATTATTTAATTATTCAGTTTTTACTTTTTCAATTCAAACATTTCAATTATTTTTAAACTATTGTTATAATGATGGTAATTTCAACATTAAAGACCATTCAAGAACAATTGTGTATTATGAAAGAAATAAAATTGATCAAAACCAATTTTCAAGCTATATAAACTATCTCCTTGCAGGAAATTACCTTCAAGATAAACAAATGGTTGAAGATATTATTGAAATTATATATTCGAGTCATAGTGGAAATGAATTAGAAAATCTATTAAACTCAAATGATACCTTTAAAGAATGCTATTTAGATATCCTTTCAAAAAACCACAGAGAAATCTTTTATGATCATTTTAACTCATCAGAGCAAGGGGAAAATGAAATGGATTTTAAAAAAATGGATATTTATTTAAACAATATTAAGTTAATTACACATTTTACAGGTCAACAAAGAATCTCTCAAAAAAAGTTAATAGTCCACGACAAACAAACTGGGGCCCTTATTAATTATCTATTAAACTACAATAGTCTAGGTCGTACAAACTACTTTTATTTCATAACAGATCTTCAAAACAAGACACAATTCCTATGTTTAGATGACTCAATTCGTGCATTCCAATCCATTGACCAAAATTTATTAAAAAAGAGATATGAATCACTTGCAACATCTGAACAAATAAATTTACCACAATATTATTTTAATAAATCAAATATTTTAGTCCATCACCTAATAAATGCAGTCGATAATAAAGATATATACTCTGTAAATAAAATAATATCAACAATCAATAATAATAACAATCAAATAATAAATATAAACATAAATGATAATAGTTTAGATATTATTAGCAATTTATTTATAAATGGTGATCTTCGAAATTTCAACCATAGCTATCTAATACAAGCCATTATCAATAAATATAAACCATCAAACGAATTTCTATCAAAAATTAGCCCCTCAATAAACGATTTGGAGTTAAAAGAACAATATATGGAAAAGGAATTGATTACAATTAAATATCATATCACTAGCTATTTTAAAGAAGAACAGGGCCAAAGTATTGAAAAGAAAAAGAAAGCAAAAGGAAATGAAGAGTATAACAAGTTTATTGGTTATTTTTTGAATGGCTATTATCAAAAATTTTTAGATGTCCTTTCAAAAAATCAAGATAATCATCAATTCTTGGATGATGTTTTTTCAGATATAGATCCAAAGATATTATATTCTCTCAAAGATAAAGTTTTCGAATCAACATATACAGCCGACTGGTTCAAAAAGCTATTTATTTTTATTTCAATTTATTTAGAAACATATAAGGATGTACTTTCTCTATCATTAAACAACAACTTTGAAATATTTGAACTCCTTTGGGAAAACTATTTAGCCAACGATATAACAAAGAAAAAATTCATCCTTGAGCTATTCAACTTTCAAGTGTCCTCAATGGATTTGAACCACATTCAAAAACACCCTTTAATGGAATATATATTAAAAGAAAAAAAAGAAACTATTGAAAAATTGGAATTCAACGAAAGAGAATTATCAATAATTCATAGAGTAGTATTTTCATATGGTAATATTTCGATTTTCAAAAAAATTAGATCTATATTTAAATCTTATCAATTTACAATCGATCAAGATTTAATGTACGAATTTATTTCAAACAATTTCGATAACTCTTATCATGCCTGCAATTTCATTGAATATCTATACGAAAATAATTATTTAGACGATTTAAAAGGTATCCTTTCAAATAAAACCCTAACAAAATTGGTACTCAATGATATCATAAGTTCAGAATATCTCAGAATTTCAAAATCAACATTAATTTTAATCCATACAATTATTAAATCACAACAATGAAAATAATAATAATAATTCTATTAATAATTACAGAAATAAAGAAATCATTAAATTTTAAAAAATCTTTTTTTTTTTTTTTTTTTTTTTTTAGAAATCAATGTTCTTTTCGAAGCTTCTTCCCATTTCATAATTTTATTGTAATATTTTTTTTTTATAATAAAATTTTTTTTTTTTGTGATTTAATTTAATTTTTCATTTTTTTTTTTTTTTTTTAATTTTTTTATATAAATTCTATAAATAAATTCATAATTAAAAATAAATATATAAATACAAATATAAAAATAAATTAGAAATAAGAAATAATTAAATTATTAATATAATGTCAAATAAAACAATTCTTTTTAATAAATATGGGGGCACAGATGTTTTATATGTAGATAATTTACCAATCCCTGAACCAGGAAATAATGAAGTAAGAATTAAAAATATATGCATTGGTATTGGTAGAGTAGAAGAAATTTATCGTAATGGTGAAATTCAAGGTATTGATGTCAAATTCCCATCATCATTAGGCTATGAGGCATCAGTTGGTATTAATGATTATAATTAATTTTTGTTTTTTATGGTTTATACTAAATTGTTTTTTTTTTTAATTAAGGGAATTGTTGATTCAGTAGGTAAAGATGTTAAAAACTTTAAAGTTGGTGATAGTGTTTCTGCACTTCAAAATACAAGCCAAGACAAATATACAACAAATGGGGAATACTGTATCCAACCTGAAACATCATTAGTAAAGAATCCATCAAATGTTAGTCACGAGCAAGCAAGTTCAATTTGGTTTTCATATTTAACAGCATACTTTCCATTAAGAAATTTAAAAGAAAATGATTTTATTTTAATAACTGCTGCAAGCTCAAGTACTGGTCTTGGGGCAATTCAGCTTTCTAAAATATTAGGTGCAAAAGTTATAGCAACTAGTCGTAGTAATTCAAAAAAACAACAACTTTTAGATTTTGGTGCTGATTATTTTGTAAACACTACTGATCCGGTCGAATTCGAAAAACAAGTTTTAGAAATAACAAATAACAATGGTGTTAATGTAGTTTATGATCCAATAGGTGGTCCATTTATTGAAAGTATTTTAAATGTATGTGCAAGAAATGCTCACGTTTTTATCTATGGTGTCACCGGTGGTCCAACTCCATTCCCAACTCGTCTCTTATTTTATAAAAACATTAAAATGGATTCTTATTTAGTTTTCAACTACTCTACCGATCCTAAACAATTACAAGAGGCTGTAAACTTTTTTATTAAACATTTAGAACAAGGTCATTTTAAATCAATTATAGGCAAAACATATAATGGTATAGAGTCAATCATTGATGCATATAAATATTTAGAAAAATCAGATTTATTTGGTAAAATAGTAATAAAATTATAAATTATGGTTTTTTAAATAATTGGAAAATAAAAAATAAAAAATAAAAAAAAAAATTTGTGATTATGCAATATTTCTTTTTTATAAATATTTTATTAATATTTAATAAAAAAAGAAATACTTAATTATTTATTTAATTATCTAATTTTCTATATAAATTAAATTTCTTTTTAAATGTTCTATATATATTTTTTATATTATATTATATCATAATATGATTATACGTCTTTTTCAGCAATAGGTTCTGAATTATTTTCGGTTGGGCTACTTTCGGCTGGATTTTCATTATTTAAATTTTGCTCTGGTTCTGTTTGCTCAACTTCATATTTTGGTTTAGTTTCTTCATCATCACTGTCATCTGATGTGAAGTGGGCTAATCTACTTGCATGGTTACTGCTTGAATGTGATCTTTTTAATTCATCCTCTCTCTTGGTGTCGGCTTTTTCTTCTTTTTCTAATGATAAAGAAAAACTAGAGCTCTTGGTACTGGTTGCGAATGTTTCATTTAATGCTAAACCTTTAGTTGCCATTTTATAGAATTTGGAACCGAACAAAATGATAATACTTAATAATGTTACAAAAATGGAACAAATACAGATAATTGAAGTCTTTGAAGCATCAGATTGTGGAGAAATCATTAATGGAATAACGATGAATAAACAGAAGGTAATTAAGTAAATACTTGTTGAAATTGGTTTTGATTCGTTAAATTCTTCGATATCAACGGTCTTAATCTTGAAAGAAATGAAACAGGCCATTAATAATTTCAAACCGTGGAATACTAGCAAGATATAGAGCATAACATCACCAGCATTATCGTTAGTACATACATCATGATATTCGTAATTTGATAAATCATCAACTCCGGTACGTGATTCCGATCTAATATTACCTAAACCAGTCCATAAGCCCAAAAGTAATATATCGATAGCCAAGATAGCGGTAACCCATGGGTATAATTTCCAATTGGTAATGGTTCTTTTCTTTAATTTTGGATTATCGAATAATAACCAAATTCTCCAGTTCTTTACTAATAAATTACCCAAGAAAATAGTAAAGCCAACTGATAATAACCAGATTCTGGTACGACATGTTTCTTTGGTTGGTGTTTGTGAAAATATAATACAAGCGCAGAAAATAACTACACAACCTAATAAAATTAATATACAGAAAATTGGACTTGCAGATCTAATAATTTTAGCGTGTCTAAATATTATTACTAAAATCATTGCAACAAAACATAAAAATATTGAAATACCTGATACAACAGTAACACCGACTTTTAATGCAGGTGGATAATCGACCTATAAAAAAATATAATAAAATTAATATTTTAAAAGAAAATAAAATTAATAAAAAATTATTACTTACAAACTCTATTGGTATTGAATAGAAACCAAAATCTTTGAAATTCTTATATGGGATTAATGTATTTGTTGTTCTAAGATAAGTATCATCTAAACAATCGGTTCCTGGCATAAGAGTTGTATTATAGGTCTTAAACAATGGGTCACATTTGAATGGAGTAAATGAATCATTCTTTAATTTTTCGATCATATTATTTACTTTGTTTTGGATATCGATTGGAACATGATAACTAAAGATATCCATTGATAATGAACCACCATCAGCAAAACTTGTGTTATATGTTTCTGGTACCCATGTATCAGTATTAACTTCTTGTGCATATTTTACAAAGATCTCGGTCCAATTGGTTACATAACTTACACCAACAGTAGCACCATATATTTTACTATTTGGAAAACCAGTAGCACCAAGACCCATACTTCCATGAGCAATAATTGCATTTTGGACACTGAAATCATCTTGACTATTACCAAGATAATCTGCACCATTGGCTTGTAAAAACTCTGATGTTTTATAAGCTAATTCAGGATTTAACCAACTACCAGTAAATGCACTAACAAATTGAATACTTTCATTAGCAGCTCTTGCACCCAAAAAAAATGAATTGGTATTAGCAACACCTGATCCTGGTGGTCCTGGTGCAACAAAACCAACAACACCAGTTTTACTCATTAAACCGGAAAAGTAACCCAAAGCATAGTGTAATACATTTGAACTGAAATTAAAAAGTTTTACTTTTTCTAATGGCTCGCCGGCAGGCTTAACTCTTCCTCTAATAAACCAAAATACATCTAAATCTTTATATTTGATTGCATAATTTAAACCCAAATTTGTGTGAATTGCAGATGAAACAATAATTAAATTAGCCCCTCTTTTAATTGAATCTTCGATGGCCCATTCTGCTAAGGCTGTAGACTCTTCTAAATTTTTGTAAAAAATAGTGTCGATCCCCAATATTCTTTCGGTTCTGATACGAGCATCGTTCATCATAAAATTATAACCCATATCATTGTAGTCACCTGATAACAATAACGATATTTTACATTTACCATAACCATGAACCATGGTTAAGTTTAAATTTATTAAAATAAATATTAATAATATTATTTTTTTAATCATTTTTATATATATATAGATTTATTAATAATAATAATATTTAAAAAAAAAATATAAAAAAAAAAAATAAATATAAAAAAAATTATATAGTACAAATTGATTAAAATATATTAATTTGTAAAATCTATTATTTCTTTTTGTGGTATTATTATTACTTATACTATTATTATTATTTATAGCTATGATATATATAAAATAAAAAATAAAGTTGTTTTTTTTTAAAAACTAATAATAATTTTTTTTTATAAAAAAAAAAAAAAATAAATAAATAAAAATAAAAATTTTCAAACAACAAACAACACAACTATATTATAAACTATAGTTTTGTTAAGCGAACGAATAAAATCATAATAATCTGATGTATTTTATCTTTGCATTTTTAATTAATTATTGGTTAGCCACAATGCAAATAATAAAAAAATTCTGTGTGGAAAAAAAAAAAAAAAACTTTTTCAACATTTTCATATTGTTTTTTCTCAATTATTGAATCTCAACCATAGAGATGCAAAAGGTTTATTATTTAGTCCAAAAGAGTATTTTTTTAATTGGACAACCTCTTTCCCCAATATTAAATATCCAAAAAAATACACTTTGTGGTTTTAAGAAAAAAAAAATTAAAAAAAAAAAAAATTAAAAAAAAATAAAAATATTTAAAAAAATTATATTTTTAAAAAAAAAACCATTTTGAATTTACCAATCAAAATAAAAAACTTTATTGAAAATCCAAATTTTATTTAAATTTTTTTTTTTTTTTTTTTCCCATTGTTTTCAATTATGAGGCAGGTGATATACTATGATTATAAAATCAATATGATAAAACCTCACGGACTGTTATTTTTTGGATTAAATTTCTTTAGTTTTTTTTTATCTTTTTTTTTTTTTACTGAATTAAAAAATTAAAAATAATTTTTTATTTTTAAAAAATCTTTCAATCAAAGCTAAAATCCAATCAACAATAGTTTGTTGGAAATTTTTTTTTTTTTTGATTGAAATTTTTTTTTTTATTATTTTAATGATTGGTCAATCATTAAAACGTAATATCTTGTGATTAGTGATTGTATTATATATATGTCTTAGTACGTTGTATCTAGCATTTCAGAAAAACCCTCCGTTTTTTTTCTTTTAAATTTTTTATTATAATCCAAATTATAACCAAATAAAAAAATTTATATACGATATTTTTTTTTTTTTAAAGTTTATTTATATCGTCATAGTTAGATCATTTTCTTATTTTGTTATTGTGCTAAAAAAAAAAACGATAAGCATCGTTTCTTTTTTTTTTTTTTATTAGTTTTTGTGAATTACAAATTTTTATAAAAAAAATCACAAACGTGTGTATATGCAAACGCAAACAATGAGCAGTTCAAGCGGTTTATCGACAATGTGGACCATTTTGCCTCTTTTCTTTCTTTTTTTTTTTTTTAAATAAAAACAAAGTTTATAAATAAATATTTATATTTATAAATAATTTTTTATTATTATTTTTTATTTGATTAATGATGGAAATCACTTTGTAACTTTTTTTTTTTTTTTGTATTTTAAAATTTATTTATTTATTATTTTTAATAAAATATAAAAAAATTAAAAATAAAAAAAAAAATAAAAAAAAAATAGAAAATTTAAAAAACTTTTTTTTTTTTTTATTTTTTTTTATGATTTTATTTTAATTTTAACACTATCATATTATTATTATATATTATATATATTAAAAAATGAGTAATAATGCAAAAGATAAAAAGATAACCATTAATTCAATGGATACTTTAATTAGAGGTATATTTATTTTAAAATTACTTTTTTTTATTTTTTTAATATTATTTAAATATTAATTAAATCAAAATATTTTTTTTGCCTGGTAAATATAGATATTGGAACAGTTTATGAATTTTATTTTGACCAAAATACATTTGTAGAAAATGAAGTTAAAACATTTTTAAAAGAATTTGAAACTAAAAGAGGAGACAGAGATATTATTTCATTATCACAACAGACATTCAATGCAAATGCTACAATGGCAATTATTAATAAATCACTATCATTATCAAAACAACATCTTTCTTCAATAAATACTACATTATCAGAAACAAATAAAAGAATTAACGAACAACTTTTAAAAGAAAATTCACATCAAGTAAGAAGCATTATTTTTATTATATATTAATTGATTATCATCATTATTAATCATTTAATTTTTTTTAGGAACAAAGAGATACAGATAGAATAAATAAACATCAAATAGAATTAATGGAAAGAAAGAATGTAGAGGATAATTATAATAAAAGAAAAGAGGAAATTGAAAGAGAGTTTAACGAAAAAGCATCCCAATTGCGTGATAAATATCAAATTGTATTATAAAAAATAAGTAAAATATAAATAAATAAAATATAAAAATAGAAATAAATAAAAAATTAAATAAAAGTTTTGTAAATAAATAATTGGTTAGGTTTGTTATCATTTTATTATTTTATTTTATTTTATTTGTGGATTTTTGAAAATAAATTTTTTAAAGAATACATTTTTAATTTAATTGCAGTTGAATTTTTAGAGTATATTATTGATGATATAATTATTATTAATGTAACAAATACTATAGGAGCAACAATCATTATAGCTAGTTTCCAATTTGATTTAGATGGGCATTCGGATTGGTAATTTGGATCTACTAGAACAGAGTAGTTGGGATCGATAATGCATTCTTTGACACAATGAGCTAGATTTAAACCAATAATAAATGATGCATCGTTTTGGTTTTTGGAAATAAAGGTACTTGACATAAAGGTTGATCTACCATCACTGATATGTTGATTGACAATCTCTGTATAGAAAATTTTGGAATCTTTGGACATTATAATATAGTTTATTGGTTGGTTGTTTTTTATATTGTTTGTATTAATGTTTAAATCTTTATTGTTACAATCGTCTGTTTGATTACCACCAGTCGAGGATATGATTCTAAGTTGAAGTGTATTTAAATTTGATTTATATATGTAGTTTTTAATTGAAATAGTAGTTTTAATTGAATTTGGATCCATTGAAAATTTTACATTCGAAAAGGTATATTCAATTTTTTCTTTAATTTCTTCGACAGTGTATTGAATAGTGCAACCCTTTATTTCACTTGAAAAAATTGTATTTTTAACTTTATTATCTTCGGAATTTGTTTGAACATCCCATTTAATATCTTGTAATGGGTGCTCTATTTCAATTGAACCATCTATCTTAAGTTCTACCAAGCTATATAGATTAATTGAGTATTGAGTACCTTCATTACCGATGATTGATTTTGATGTTAGGTAGTTTACATTTAAAGATGATGGAGGGTTATTTAGAGATATAAGATCAATAGGAAGCCCTGAGCAATCTGGTCCAGAAAAACCATATTTACATTTACAATACCCAGTTTCTATATTACAAGATCCTTGGTTGGTATTTGTACAATTATTTGGACATTGCAATGGTTCTTTGGTTAAGGTATATTTAAAAATATTGATCGATGAATAATATAGGTCTCTATCTTGAATTGTAATGTTCTTAGTTCCAGTGCCTCCATTTATTTTACATGTTAGAGTGGTTTGGTTGTTTGGTTTTATATCTATGCATTGGGTATTTCCAATCCATAGTTTAAATTCACTTGTAATATTACCAAAATAACCACATATTTCAACAATACCACCAAACTCTGGAACTGATGTACATGAGCTAACATATATAAGAGATACTGAGCAGTCTTGAGAGGTGGTCTGGGTATCGCACATACAAATACCAGTATATTGATTACATTGACCATGGGGATATGAACAATTGTTTGGGCAAATTAAAGAGTTATATTTAAAAGCATTTTTTATAGAAAAGAATACATTGTCTATAATTGTAATATTTCTTTCACCAATTCCAGGACCAATGATACACATAATGGTTGTTTTAGTTGCATTGACATTTAAACATTGTTCGTCACCTATAAAAACTTGTAATGAGGGGGAGCTGGTTCCAAAATAACCAGTTATTGTAGTGTTTCCACCATTTGATGTAGTACTTTCAACACTATCAATTCTTAATAGGGATGTTTCACAGCCATTGCCCGAGGTTCTATCGTCACATTCACAGATACCAGTATATTGATTACATGTACCATGAGATGAGCAGTCGAATGGACATTCAAGAAGAGCGTATGTAAATGATTTTTGTAATGTTGTGGATAAATCTCTATCGGTAATGGTAACATCATAAGTTCCGTTTCCAGCTGGGGCAGTACATAAAATAGTTGAGCTATTAATTGATATAATTGTGCATGCTTTTGTCCCTATTAAGATATTTAAACTGTTTGGTGTTCCAAAATAACCTTTGATTGTAGTAAGACCACCATTAATATTTGTTGATTGAATAGAGTCAATAGATAGCCTTGATGTAGTGCAAGTGGTTCCTGTTGTTTGACTATCGCAATTACAAATTCCATTATTTGAATTACAAAGCCCATGTGTTGCTGAGCATCCTGGACAAGTACCACAAACTTGTTTGGTTTGAATGTTGATTTTATATTGGCATGCAACTGTTTCATCACCTTCGCCTATTACATTGAATGTTTGTAAAGGATTGCATGTTAAATTTAAAAGTAGATAGCTATATTTATCTGCTGTTCCACATGCGCTTGATGTAGATCCAGGTTTTCTATATGATAAAATAACACCATTGTTTGTATAAGTTTGGGTTTCTGATCCTACTGCTGATAATTGATTATATGGTGGATATGCATCGGTTTCCTTTTTTAAACATGAGGTGGAGATATCAGTACACGAGGACAGTTGTGTATCACAAAAGTTATAAAGTATATCAAATGTTGGGGTTCTTGATGCAAAGTGAGTTGAATAGTATTGATAACCAGTTCTATAAAAATAATAAAATATAAAAATTAAAAAAAATTAGAAAAAAAAAAATTTTAAAATAATTTTTTTTTTTTAAAATAAATTACAATTTAAGTGGGGTAAGGTCATAATTTAATTTTACATTTGGATTGTAATAAATACATCCTGTTGGTACAGCAGAATTTACAATATTAAATAAATAAATAAATATAAATATATATAAATAAATAAAATAATTCATTGTTAATGAAATTGTATGTATATTTGTTTTTTTATAAAATTTTTTTTATAAAATATTTTAAATAAATACTTTTTTTTTTTTTCTCATTATACTGTCCCTTTAATCCTATTTTTAATTATATGATAAGTATTAATAAAAATAGTATTGTTTCCTTATTTTCGAAAAAAAAAAATACATCAACCCACTCCAACTGTTTTAACACTTATTGATTTATAATTTTTTTTATTGTGCTGTTCAACCCCACATATTTTTTATATATTTTTATATTTACAAATCTTTCTTTTTGGTTTTTTAATGGAATTATAATTTTAATTATATTTTTTTATAAGGGCAGCTTAAAATTTTTTTGATTACAAAGAATTATTTGAAAATAATTTAATAATATTTATTTAAACGGTTTTTATATGTACAAAAAAAAAATATATGTATTCTAATAATTATTTAATCAAATGTTAATGGATTATCACTTAAATCTACCATATGTTGGTTATTTGAATAGTTTTTTGAGGTTGCAGTTGAAAACTTATCAGGAGAGGCAGAGTTTTTTAAGAGTGATAAAATATTATTGGTATTGCTAATGTTATTATTTGTATTGGTATTATTTAGCTGAATCTGTTGTTTCATTCTATTGTAAACTTCTTTAAATTTATCTCTGTTCTTTTTGCAATCTACTAATTGATGCTCTAGTTTATGTAGTTTATTTTCTAATTCTTTAATACCCAATTGGAACATTTCTTCATATTTCTGGTCGGGTAATTTCGAAAAGTAGTTTACCATGATAGGTCCTAATTTCTGGAACATTGGATTTAAAAAGAAAGCATTTAATTTGTTTCTGATGAGTTTTGAGAAAAAGAAACGAATCCCAGAGAAAAGGCGACCTGCAATCATACAAACTTTTTGGTATGTCTCATCATCAATTTTTCTTGAGCGAGATAAGAGATCATCATCCTCTGGCTTTCTGGATGGCTCCATAATTGAAACAACACGTTGCTTTGTTTCTTCTGGTGATACCTTTAGATAATTGTATGGTTTAATTTCGCTAAGACCATTTAAGAGATTCCAATCTACAATTTTAGTAAACATTTCGAAATCATCTTTGAGACGTGATTTACATTCATTTTCAATGTCATCGATGAATGATTCATATTGGCCTTTAAGTTCCTTGAGGAAATGTTCGTAGAGTGAAACTGTGTGTGATGATTCGGTTTCATCTTTGGAGAGAATTGAGACACTAATATCGAATAGTCTTTTCATGATGTATGATGATCTTTGAAGAACAATATCGATTAAAGGTAAAATTACTCTTTTTGATTTGGTTTGGAAAATATTTGTAGCTGCCAATTCATAGATTGGTGAATTATGATATTTGGAAACACCGATGGCTGATGCAACTTCATTAATTGAGGTTTCTGGAAATTCTTTGCTGTGGATAACATATTCAAATTCATTTAACAAACGTTCATATTGAGCACCACCATAAAGGCTGTAGGATGAGTTTTGAATATCAAAATCGAAATTATATCCTGGCCATGGCTGAACTGAGCAGTTTTCTTTTTCTTGAAGCAAGCTTTGGCCATATTCATCAGGATCACCAACTACACTACCTTCAAGCAAACGATCGATTTGGCTATTGAAGTTGGTAACAAATTTAATTACCTTTTGTTTAAGACTGCCAATGTTGTTATCTTCGAGCTCTTTTTTAACACGAGCTATATCGCCTTCAGTTTTCTTACAAATTGATTCCAATTGAAGCATTGATGGCAAAAGATTTTGTTGATACTTTTCGTGAAGGAGATTTTCAATAAAGCTCTTTACTCTATAGATACCAATTTGACCACCGAATCTATTTTCATCAAAACCAACTTCCAAAAGCTTTTTATAGTCATCCAAGAAACAATCTTTCATTGATTCTTTAAACTTGTTATTCTCTAAATCTCTTTTGAGTGGCAAGCTTATAAAGAATGGTTTCTTTTGAGATACAATACCTTCACCTTCTAAATATTTGTGGGCAGATTCTCTATTACGAAGTTCTTTAACACGATTATCAAATTTGGTATTAACAAGAATAGTTCTGCTAAAATCTGGATCTATTTTTTTAACTAATGGTCTGGATATTGTATTGGCCCATTCTACATTTGATTGCTCAAGACATACAATAATACGATTCTTTGGTTCTATTAATTTCTTTACCATCTCTGAAATTTCGTGTTTTAATCTTTCATCACCACCTTTTCTAAATCCTGGTGTATCATAAATATTTAAATTGGAGCAATGTGCATATTCGACTCTTAAAAATATTGGTACTGCTGAAACTCTATCACCAGATCTACCCGTTCTTTCATTAGTTCTTCTGACAATCTCTTCGGTTAATTCATTGACAGGTGTTTCATATTCTTCCCATTTATCGTCTAATGAGTTATTGGCCGAGGATGCAGATAATTCTTTTCCATTGGTTGTACTACCTTGGCTGCTGCTAACTGGTTGTCTTGATGATTCACCAGAGCTGTAGTCCTCTTTTTTAAATCTACATGATGGTTGTTGTTTTAGAGGATTATTGATCATTTGAATAATCAATGGTCTTCTAGTACCAATATTAGTTTCGACTATATTAAACTGGAACCCTAAAAGTGATTCAATAAATGATGATTTACCATCTGATTGCATACCTACTACAACCAATTCTGGTGTATCAAATGATATATTGTGACTATAGAAAAATAAAAATAATAGTTAATATAGATTTTTATTTTTACATTAATTTAGCTATAATATTAATAAATTACTTACTCATGTGAAATCATTTGTAAATCGTTAAACAATGCATATAACTCTTGGTTTGCTGTTGCTAACATGGTTTCAGAGTCATCTAACTTCTTTCTTTCACCTTCTAATTTTTGTTTAATTGTTTTGCTCCACATCTCCTCATTATCCCTTTTTCTTTTTTTTTCTTCTCTTTTTCTTTTTTCTTCCTCATGCATTCTTTGGGCCATGGCTTCTGCAATTGCCATTTGTGCTTTATTTAAATTTTGTTGAGATGAATTTGCAACTTGGGCTGTTGAAAAATTAAACGATGGTGATGGTGAACCTGGTGATTGTTTATCCTGTTGTTGTTGTTGTTGTTGCATTTGTTGGTGAAATTGTTGTAGTTGCATAAGTTGCTGAGGTGTTAATTGTTGAAGCTGTGTTGGGATCTGAGGTGATACTGCATTGCTAGATGGAGAAGAAACTGCTCCACTATTATTGGAAGATGGGTTTGTATTGTTCTTACTTGGTGACTCGATGTTTATTACTGGCGTATTTGTTTGATTCATTTATTATTATTATTTACAAATTATTATATTATTATTATATTATACATATAACTAGGGAAAGTATTTTGAATAAATGAATTCATTTTTTATAACTTTTTTTATTTTATTTTTTTTATTTTTTTTTTTTTTCATAACTTAGAAGAATTTCTCAAATACTTCGAACAAATAAATTAAAAAAAATATTGAAAAATTTAAATTTTTTTTTTTTTTTTTTTGAATTATAATAAAATTTCCAATTTTATACAAATTTATAAATAATTTAATAAACAACGTTTAATTAGGGTTTATATATTTATATTATATGATAGAATTATATTTGGTTATGTGAAGAATCATTATACTATGATTTTTTTGATTGGTGGAGCAGTTGTTGATAAAAAGATATTTTGTTTTGAAATTTAGCTCATTTTTAAATGGGTGTGTATTAACTAAAATAATAAAATATAGTGATTTTAAAACTAAATTTTAAAAAATTATAATATACTAATGATAAATATTTAATCATTAAACATAAAATAATTAATTTAAGGGGGATAGGGGTAGATTATTAATTTTATTTTTAAAAAAAAATATTTACTATTGTTGTTAAAGTATAAAAATAATAATATTACATTATTGTTATATTCGAATTATCAAAATAATTGTTTCGTTTTATAACTTTTAACAGAAATAAAAGTAAATATATACACAAATATTATTTCTTTTCTAATACTAAAGAAATCAAATATAGAGTGTTGGTTATTATAAAACCATTTTAATGTAAAAAATATCGTTATTTATTTAATTTTTTTTTATTTTTATTTTTATTTTTTTTAATTTTTTTTCTATAAAATATTTTATTTTTATTTTTTTTAATTTTATAATAATTTTTTTTTTTTTTTTTTTTTTTTTTTTAATTATCACAAAACAAAATAATTGTTTTGTTTCACTTAAAAAAGAAATTTTAACACACTATATAAATATTATAAATAAAAATATTACCAATTTTATTTATTTTTGTAAATGTAAGATTTAAATACAAATTTAATAAAAAAATAAAATTTTTTTTAAAAATTAAAATTATTTATTTTTATCTATTATTTAATTTTAATTAAATATCTTTTTCCTTATTTTTTTATTTTTTTTTAATATCATCATCATCATTATCATCATCAAACACCACACATTATAATAATTAATTGATATTAATACTATTTTTTTTTTTTATTACCAGTATTAACATTAAAATATATTTATTAGAAAAATATAAATATATATTTATTATAAAAAAGAAAAACAAGGAAAAGAAAGAAATTAAAGAAACAAGTTATTTTAATCATTTATTATAGGAATTAAAATGAATATTAGTTTTTCAAGAGATGGTATTGAGGGTTTACCAACATCATCAAAAGATGATGATGATAGTGATTTATCAAGCATTGAATATGAAGATCTTGTAATGGATTCAACAGAAATTGGTAGAGGTTCATTTGGTCAAGTTCAAAAGGCTTCTTATTTTGGTACTGATGTTGCTGTTAAACAATTAAGTTCATTGGTTTCAATTGACCCAGATTATTTTAAATTTATGTTAAGAGAAATTAAAATTTTAAAGTAATAATTGATTTAAAAATAACCCAATCATTACATTGCACTAACATTTTTTTACTTATTTAGGAATATGAGGCATCCAAATATTGTTCAATATATAGGTGCTTGTTGTAATGAAGGTAGATATATGATAGTTACAGAATACATTAAAGGTGGTGATTTACATCAATTTATTAAAAAGCGTGGTGTTAGTAATATTTCATGGACAATCAAATTAAAACTAGCTTTAGATATTGCATCTGCTTGTAAGTATTATATAAACATCATAGATAATTATAATTGAATATTTACTAATTTTTTATTTATTTTATTTATTTTTAGTTTCATATTTACATTCTAAAAAAGTTATTTTTAGAGATTTAAAAGCAAAGAATATTTTAATTGACGAAATTGGTGACACTCTTCGTGCAAAAGTATGTGATTTCGGATTTGCAAGAATTTTTGATAGTAATAAAGATAAAGCTCAAACTATTTGTGGATCAGAAACTACCATGGCTCCAGAAGTTATTGTTGGATCAAATTACAATGAAAGTTGTGACATTTATTCATATGGTGTTTTATTATTAGAATTAATTTGTGGATCGCGTGTTGTTAAAACTCAACTCAAAAGAACTCCAATGAACGCTTTTGATATGAAATTGGATAAAGCAGAATATTTAGCCCCAGAACATTGTCCAAGAGATTTTATTGACTTAGCAAAATGGTGTTGTTCATATAGTCCAAAAGATAGACCATCATTCAAGAATATCGTTGAGGGTCTTAAACAATTATCCAATACCCCACTCTCAAGTTTAAAACCTAAAGGTAAATCAAAACCATATATTGATTCAGATGATGAAGATTTTGTTGATCCAAATGAAAATAATAGTAATGAAGATATTGTAAATAATAATAATGATAGTAATAATAGTCACTCTGTAATTATTAAAACAGATGAACCAGAGTACAGTTCTGTAGTTTATAAAGAAGATGCAATTGACCAACCTTTACCAAACATTGACTATGGTGGTTTAAATAACAGAAAGAATAATATTTTCAACCCATCATTTTTCACACCACCACCAGGCTCCAAACCACTTCCAAAGGAGGAAGAGGAAGAGGATGCTCACACCCTTTCATATTCCCTTTCTTTTGATCAAATTAAATATCATGGTAGTCATTCAAAATCTTTATCTTCAACTATTAGCACTCCAAATTTAATAAGCAATCCAATAGAACGTGATCCACCAAAACCACTTTCACAATCCGCAAGTGCAACTGTATTGGGTGGTGTTCCTCCACAGCAACAAAATAAAAAAAGAAAGAATAAGAATAAAAATAAGAAAAAATAAATAAATAAAAAAAAAAAATAAATAAGAAAAAATATAAAGTTTTTTTTTTCCCAATTTTTTTGAATATAGTGGTGATTTTTAATATACACAATAATATTCTTTTCTTTTAAAAAGATTTTAAAAAAAAAGATAAAAATATTTTCATTTAATTCCCTTTAATAAAAAACAATAAATTTAAAACCAATAAAAGTTAATTAAAATATGTATTAAATGTTTAATCTTTATTTTTATTAATTTGATGCATTATAATGTGATTGTTCACTATTAAAGGATGAATAATGATACTGTGCACAAAAAAAAATAGTTAATTTCTTAACAGAGGATTATTTACTTTACCAACACATCACTCAAAACCAATACCAAAATCAAAACCAAGACCAACACCTCAATCAAAACCTAAACACAAATTAAAACCAAGACCAAGACCAAAACCAACTCAACCCCAACTTTAACTCCAATTCCATCCCCAATTCCAACCCAAAGCCCAATTCCATCCCCAATTTCATCCCAATTTAATAAAAAAAAAAAACAATTTATTAAACTTCAATAAAAATTTCTGTGTTACCTTTTAAAAATTTTGCAATAAATAAAAAAAAAAAATTTTGAATTTTTACTTTTTTACATTTTATATTTACACAAATATTATTACTATTATTATTCGTCAATTTTTTCAAAAGGTAAACTATACTTTTTATTTATCTTTTATATTAATTATGGAAGTAATATCACATTGTTATTAGGAAAAGAAAGAGAATAAAAAGGATAGTCGATAATGCAATGTTTTGGGGAAATATTGTAATTTTTTAATAGCTTTGAAAATTAAAATTAAAAATTTTTTTTTTTTTTTTTTTTTTTTTCAACATACAAATAATTATATTGCTATATTTTTTATTATAATACTCCATATAATAATATATTTTAATAACTGCAATAATTTTTTTTTTAATAAAAATTTTCAACCAAATAATCCAAATCAATTCATTTTAATCAACAATGAATGATTTAATTTTTGTATTTTCAATTTTTATCATTAGTATACAAATTTAATGGTTACACTTGGTAAAACAATGCATTGCTCCATTTTAGATAATTCTCAATTAGAAACTTTAAAAGTAAATGTACACAGCCAAATCTCAATGTCCCGCTTGGCCATATTATAAAGTGCCATAAAAAGGTTGGATATTCTTCGACTTACAACTTTAGATATCATTTAACATATGGTACTGTATATATAGTTATATTTATTGATTTAAAAATTAATTTATATTCTAACATTTTATTTTTTTATAGACGATAAATGTTTAGCCGCAAAGAAATAGAGAGGAAAAAATAAAATTTCAATTGAAGAAACAATTACACCTAATACTTTGCGCACATGATATTTACAAAATCTTCAAAAATAATAAGCTATTAATTGCCGAGGAATTATCAAAAGTCACCTCAAATGTATCACTAATCATTTATTTATGGTCTTCCCCACATGGAAAAAAAAAGTTTATGGGTTAAGTGCCAATACTTAACGAGTGATTTAAAAGTAATTGTTATATTAATTGCAATGACCAAGTTTTCAGAAACATTCAGCCCCAAATATAACAAACAAAATTAAAAAAGTTATGGAAGATTATGGATTATTAAATAAGGTTATTTCAATTTCATTAGATAATGCTTCAAATGGTATCGGTGCTGTCAAAATGCAATGTAATAAAAAAATTATAGATTCGTCCTTTAATAACTCTGCCAGTAGATGTTTCGCCCACAACCCTAAATTTATGTTTTGTTTCTTTTGTAAAAGATAAAAAAAACCATCAAATATCACCATAGAACAATCTAATTAAAGACAAAAAAGAGACACATATATATTTCAAAGTATTTGGAAATCCAAAGGTATTTAAAAGAAAGTGTGGACAAAAGAAATGATACCACTTCATATGATTTGGAAAGAAAAAAAAGCTATATATCCAACACTGTATTCTATAGTAAGAAATGTTCTTTCAGTTGTTTCTTCATCTGTGGAAATAGAGAGAACCTTTTCTGGTGCCAAATTGTTGATTACCCATAATCGTTCCAAATTGGGGTGGGAAAGGATTGAGCAATGCGTACTTTTAAGAGAATGGGCAAAAGTTTCAAGGGTAGATATTGTTAATAATGAATATAATAATATATCTAAAATAATATATAAAAAATAACTTAAAAAATTTTTCAATCAATATTTTTTATGAATTTTTTCAATTTTTCCTCTATTTTTATTTTTTTTTTTGATTTTTTATAGCACTCATAGTTTTAAAAAAGGTAGAAATAGGTGCGCTGTGGGGGGTGCGGTTGGCAGGACTATTTTTTTTTTTTTAATTATATTCCCATGGTTGTTATTACTATTATTATTATTAAAATTTTTAATTGAACAGATTTGTTTTAAAAAACTAATATTATTATAATTATTTTTTAGAATATTGTTTTTTTTAAGGAATGATGACGATATCATTTATTATAAATATTATTATTATATTAAATAATATATTATAAAAATTGACTATATATAGATATAGATATAGATATATATTTTATATTATTACTTTATTTAAACTATTAAATCAAATTATAAAGTAAAAAAATGAAAAAATTAAAAAAATTTAAAAACGAAAAAAAAAAAAAAAATTTTTTTTAAATTTTATCACAATCAAAATATAAATACATTTTTTGAAGATGATTAATATTTGTATATTTTATATCTGTATCCAGCTCAATAACTTTATCGATTTTTTTTTTTTTTTGATTTTTTTATATTTGCCTTTTTTTAATATATTAAATCTTAAAATAATGATTTACAAATAAAGTATTACATATACATGAAAAAAATGAAATTTTGGATTTAGATTTGGATTTTTATTGTTTAATTTTTTTAAAAATCAATTAAATAAAATAATTAAGTAAATTTAAAAAAAAATAAAATAAAAACCAATAAAAAAAATTTTATAAATTAATTTACTTAAAAAAAGAAAAAATATGTTATAAATTTTTAATCTTTATTTATTTATTAATGTATTATCTTATATATAACTAACTCTTTATGAAATATAAAAATGAAATCTGAATTGATAATAATTAAATTGAATATACTAATTGTTGTTTTTTAATTTAATTATTATAATTGATGGTGAAATAATAAATAATATAAAAATACCAATGAAATCTTTTGATTAGTTGGGATAAGAGCTAAACTTTCACCTTCTGATTTGGTGGTTCTTCTTTAAACAGATATTAATGGTCTACCAGTACACGTACTATAATGGAGCTACGATTATTTTATTCATCTAAAATATTTTGATGGTATACCAATTTGCTTGGCCAGGACAATGTTGGCATGCTCAAAAGTCAATTAGATTGAATTGTATCATAATTTGATATTAATGATCGATTATTATTATACTGGGAATAATATGTGTTTAGGTGTTGGTTGAGGTGTTGGTCTTGGTTTTTATTTTTGTATTGGTGTTGGTTGAGGTGTTGGTAATGTAAGTAATGGGGTTGTGGTTTGTTATATTTTTATATTTTTGGATGAGTTGGTCTTGGATTTGGTGTTGGTTGTGGATTTGGTATTAAAGTTGGAGTTGGAGTTGGTGGTATTGGAGCTGAAGTTGGGATTTGAGTTTATCTTGGTTTTGATCTTGTTTTTGATCTTGTTTTTGATAATGGTGTTGGTTTTGGTGGTGGAAAAGTAAGTAATGAGGGTGGGGTTTGTTTTGATCTTGTTCTTGATCCACGATTTTGGTTTTGTAGTTGGTTGTGGCGACGGAGTTGGAGATGGAGTTGGAGATGGAGTTGGGGATGGAGTTGGGGATGGAGTAGGGGATGGAACTGGGGATGGAATTGGGGATGGAATTGGGGATGGAGTTGGGGATGGAATTGGGGATGGAGTCGGGGATGAACTTGGGGATGAAATTGGGGATGAAATTGGGGATGGGATTGGGGATGGAATTGGGATTGTGGATGGAATTGGGGATGGAATTGGGCTTTGGGTTGGGATTGGTCTTTGAGTTGGTTTTGGTCTTGGTTTTGGTTTTAATTTGTGTTTTGGTGTTGAATGAGGTGTTGGTCTTGGTTTTGACTTTGGTATTGGTGTTGGTAAAGTAGTTAATGGACGTGGGGTATGTTTTGATCTTTCTCTTGATCTTGATATTGTTTTTGTTGTTGGTTGTGGTGTTGATTGTGGAGTTGGAGTTGGAGTTGGAGTTGGAGTTGGAGTTGGAGTTGGAGTTGGAGTTGGAGTTGGTTGTGGTGGTTGTTGGTCTTCTTCTTCTTGTTGTTATAGTTCGTATTCCTGCATTCTTTGAAATAGTAATCTAATACCAGAGGTTGATGCAGAGTGTTTTGGTTTTGGTTGTGGAGTTGGAGTTGGTTGTGGAGTTGGAGTGGGTTGTTGTTTTTGTTGTTGTTGTTGGTGTAATTGTCTTCTAAGGAGCTCCATTTGGTCTATAAACTCGTGTTGTTGTTTAGACTCTTGTTTTTTTTGT